ATATTTCAAGTACTTTTACTTACCTGTGCTCGTAATAAGCCCTGTGCCAAGCCAGGGTTTCAGGACGTCATATAATGCAGATTTATCAACAGTTTTGGCATCCGACAGAATGATCTTAAACAATAAGGTGATGAGCATTAGGCATAATAAATGATGTTTTACAAAGTTTTTTCACTAAGCAATTGATAAATAGTTGATTTGAGAACTGGGGAAAGGTAATAATTTTTGATAAATCCAGCTTAGCTACATCTCTTGAAATATTCTATGAAACTGAAATTTGATTTTGTTTTTGGTTATATATGCTTCTCTATCAAGAAGTGATCGACCAAGTTGCTGTAAACTTGGCCTCCTTATCCAAACAAATCTTTATATCTTAAAAACACCCAGCAAAGCAGAAATTACCAGTAACTAAGAAGTGACTTTGTTGCTGTGTGCCAGCCAGTTATACTGGTGATAACAAGTTGAAACCATTGTGCATTAGTAAATGTTTGAAGTGTGTAAACATGAATTCTCAGCCTGTGATGTACTTGAATGACATGCTATATTTTTGCCCCCTTTTATGAAAATGAGTTTGTGTCATCAGTAAGACACCATCTGTGTTTTAAGAAACGTTAAGAAATGCCTCTCTTAGTGTTAGATTACTGTCCAGCTCCATCCTTCTACTGACCTGTTTAGAACAACAGACAGATAATGAACACCTTCATTTGTTGTATCTGGTTAATATTAAGCAATATATTCTGAAAAAAACTGCAGTCATTAGTTATGACAAAATATATTATATGACTGTTTTCGCAAGAAGGCATAAATGTAAGTAATTTCCAGTGGGCTGTGCCAGTAGCACTGGTCTTAAATGTACTTTAAAACATCATATCAGGGATTCCAAAGTTAAATATACGTCTATTTCATTGTAACGCAGGTAGCTTATAACGCTGAAGCTGTCCCTCGACACCAGCATTCATTATATCGGAGTTCCACAGCAATTAATAACAATCAAAAAAGATGACTGATTATTATATCCTGAGATGCACGAATGTATAAAGGCTTCTTGCATTTGCCTTACACCTGGTTGTTTATCCGTGTTTCAATTTGTGATTAAAAGCGCAAATTTCCCGGGATAAGAATCTAATGAATTTCAAGGTCGCAGTGTTATGTTTTGGTGGCTCTCAGCTATGGTAATTTTGTAACAATGTTGAAACATTTGTTTCGAAAATCTTGCATTTTCAGAATACAGCTGTGGACTGCTTATACCTGTAACAACCTGTAACCGTTCGTTTCCACGGACTGATAGATCACAGCGTCCGGTACGATGGTGCTGGTAGGGATTGTTGGGTCTTCGGGATCTCTCAGGGATATTTGCTTAGCTCTGCTAGTCGGTAGGCAACGACTCATCTCAGTTGTGTTCACGGCCAGTTCGTAACAAATCAGGTGTTCACGGCCAGTTCGTAGCAAATCAGTCATTTGCCGACTGTTGCAACACAACACTTTGTGAGCTTGAGAGATGTGGACGTACAGTAAGAGACTGTAATCTTGAGACTTGTGGGGCGGAGGAATAAGTAGGAAAGATAGCGCCTGCCTTTAACTCTTCGGACTTCCTGCATTCCTTGCAAGTCTCAAGATTACAGTCTCTTACTGTACGTCCACATCTCTCAAGCTCACAAAGTGTTGTGTTGCAACAGTCGGCAAAACTCCTTTTACACCGTAAACATGCTTACGGTTTGACAATCAAAATTTAAATCTTTGCCCCGAAATGAAATGTAACAACTCCCACTTGGCGCGGGTCAAACTTCAAGCCGACAAAAACACGACAATGAGTGGATAATATCAAGCCTAGTGACCTAGCGCATAAAAGTTGGATTCATTACAAGTACAGAATTAACATAAAACAATAAATGGATTGGTAAGCGGTTGCAGACCTCAGTTATATTATGCACATTGCTAGGGCGACCTTGATAGCTGTACTGGAACGTAGTCTTATTACAGCTTATTATAGCTGCCATAAGTTTTCACGATATTTTAAAGTCATGGAAGTAATTTGGTCGGGTCATTAGCATGTTGCCATTGAATTATTTTCTGAGAAAGACGAATACAATCCACCACCTTCCGCTTTATATGGCTTATGATCTATATTCATACTATCCTACTATATATACAACTTGCCACTTTCATTCCGGTTTAAAGCTAAAGTTGTCCCTGTTACTAATGACACGTGGGGTAGTGGTGGAATAGGTTCACCCTTTCTTGACCTCGGCACTAGTGTACTAGAAAATCAGGACTCCGTGTGCATAGCAGAAAATAGAAGTTTTTTCACTCTATTATTGGGAAAAAGGGCTTAAATTTTTGGGCAGAAGTGTAAAGCAAACAAAAAATTGAAGGTATAACTTATAAGTAGAACTTGCCATCGTAACTGACATATGAGTACTCCATTGCGTAACGGAGCAATTACAAAGCTCTAAACCGATAAGACAATTCGATATCGATACGAACGTCTCCTATAGCGATACTGAATTCCATATCGATTGACATTTTGTCGGCGGAACATCGAGCGCTTGTAAGTTTTGAGGCTATCACGGCGATGAGTACGAATATTCTGTCTTCTTGATTTTATCACCTTGTAGTGTGGTATACCAAACTAAGCGGAGCTAAAACCCAGAAGACAGCCATCACTGAAGGCTTACTCGATAAAACGTCGCCATATTAAAATAAATAATTAATAATATATCCTCGCCATGCTCCTGTGAAAGCCGTGGTTTGTTTCATACGTAGATCAAATTTATTTCACTTTATTTTTAAAATTGTAAGTAATTTTTTAACTGTGTTTCAAGATGTACGCATAAGTGTAGCCTGATTTCTAATTCCCTCCATTCTAATTCCGGAACTGTGGTTCCACTATCAATTTTTCCCCGGAAATCGAAGAATTAAGCCTATAGCATTGTATGAAAATCGAAATCAGAACAAAAAGTCATGAATTAAATTTTATACCGGAATTCGTCTGTAGTTACAAGTCTATTGAATACAATAATTTACACGTACCTTTAGGACCTGTGCCTAACTCAAGCACATTTCCTATAAATGGCAGTGGTTTTGGTCCTGGCACCTTCTCTGCTAACTTCATCAACCTATAATTCTTTTTTCTGAAGAAAGTCCACAGTAAGATCGCACTGGCCAGGAACACGATCAGCGTGGAGACCAGCATGCTCACGGTTCAGCTGTGGTTCTGTGCTTTGGTTTCTAGGCTTTTAAACAACTGCAACAAAGTTGTTTTTTTTGTGGATGACTGACTGACAAACATCTATCTTGTCAGAGTTCATGTTGTGACGGAACGTGCAGCCAACCACATCTTCCGATACACCTTAGAGCAATCAATGTTCATTACTTGAAGATCTATATGCAATAACAGAGCAAACGCTCTTCAATTAGGATGTTATATTTATTTTTCTACACTTGTTTTAGTTCGCAGTCAAAGAATAAAACGACCCAAGATAAGATACGGAGCGTGATCATCATGAGAAATGACCCAGAGGAGAATATCTAGCAGTTTCTACATGGCCATCACAAAACAGAGGACAACAGCAGGTCCCCAGGAGAAAAATGTGAGTACTGGATTGTAGCCGGACATTTTCTTGAAGGAAGTCATTTTAAAAAACTTGAATTCTTCAAGGAACACAGGGCTGGCTCTCAGCCTGGTGGGGATTTCCGTTGAAGGTGTTTTGGTTTGCCCCACCCCACGTCATAAACTGTTGGCGTCACTAACTGTTAATTCCTGGTCAAGAGCAGTCGCATTTCAGTGTCGCTGTGTATCACTAAAGATTTCAATAAAGTTCTTAGAACTAGCTTTTCCACGTTGAATGCAAACCAGTATCCATGAGAAGATCTCATGATTCTTCTCACCGATAGCTAAAGTGATAAGAAGAACAGCGAGGTCTACTGCCGCAACAGTGGCGCGCCAACGTTTGGCGCGGTGTATGCAGGAAACGTGGCAAAAACAAAAATACTTTGGCAATAAGTGATTAACCGTAGACGGAAGGAAGATACTACGACGCCCAAGTTTCATCTAGACGCGCGACTTCAGCATCAGTGAAAGCTACAGATAAGTGTTAAAGATTACAGGTCAGTAAAAGTGTTTGTCCAAACTGTGTAAAATCATGGCGAACAGGGCCCTGAGAAACCGAGTAGTTAAACTGGATGAAGGATCGAAGTACGAAAATAGTGATCTCGACCTTCCCAGTGCACAAATAGAGAGTTTTTCAGGACAACAAAGTAGCTTACCGACATCCGTAGAGAGGGAAGCAGATGCGATAGAAAAGGAAACAGAAAGTAAGAAAGAAAAGAAAGTCGGTACAAGTAACAACTGAAAATAGTATGGTCCAAATTTTACAAGAAATAGCACAGGTAAAAAACATGCTTAACGCTATTATTGAAGGAAACGAGAAATTGTCGTCGAAAACTGAGGAAAAAGGGGTCGAATTTTCAGAAGCTATTAAGCCTTTGAGAGAAGAAACGAAACAGGAGATTAAGGAAATTAGAAAAGATTGGCAGAAGTTATCAGAGGAAGTGAATGATAGATTGGGTGGACATGTAGAAGTTCAGGAGGAGTTGGTTCAGGAGTCAGAAGCCAGCACCAAAGCATTGGAAAGTAATATTGAAGGGAACAAAACTGAGGTCAGTCGTGACTTTAGTCTTATGCGACAAGATACAGATAAATTTCAACGAGAAGTGACTAAGTAAAATCAAGTATGGAAGAATAAGGCGGGGAGAAAATGTCCCAATTGGATTCTAGTATCAGAGCAAAAGTAACAAAACAACAACAAAACAAAAGTAAATTCGACAATGACCCAGAGCGGATCGCCGCTATTCAGAGTTACCCTGCTCCCAGAAACCAAAAACAGTTACGCCACTTCCTCGGCACATGCAATTTTCATAACCGCTTCATTTTTAATTATGTAAGTTTCGTTGCACCGCTGTTGACGAAACGAAGCCGATGGAAATGGACCGAACAAATGCAGAGCCTCAAAGGTTGATTTATTTCCCTGGTCAGTGTACTGTCCGTTCTTAAGTAATGTAAAATTTTATGACTGTGTCCACCATTTTGCGTATCGTAAGGCAGTTAAGTCCATTTTACATTTTCACATCCCATTTTCCTAACATCTACCTGCACCTAGGATTCCATATTTGTCTCTTCTCTACAAAGATTTCAAACAATTTTTTAACACTTCCCTCCTCCTCCCTTGTTCGTAATAAATATCTCGCCCATTTTGACAGTATTAGGTTCTGCTTTAAACTCCTCGTTATGCAGTGTTTTACATTCCCTTTTAATTAGTCCAAATACTGTCCTCGGAAACCTGTTACACATCTGCAACAAATATTTTTCGTAATACTTAAAGGTCCCTTTCAGAACAGTTTTGACAAACAATACTTGTAGAATTACCCAACTTCCTGTCGCGTTACATTAATTGCACTGTCCTCCAAACGTTGCTTTTTGCCATGTTCAAGCGCATCAGACATTAAAGAAAACAAAAGTGAGTAGTCAAAAAACCAGTTTGCGTCGTCATTCCACCAGCACAGTCGAATAAACTGTCATAAAGGATTTTTCAAACTCCAACAAAACCCCGCCCTTGAAATATATGTGGATTCTCATGTAAATACAAAGAAACAGGGATACGGCGCCTCTCTAAACCGCCACCCTTCCATTGTGACCAAGAAAGCTTCAGAAAAGAAATTCCCCATGTAATTTTAAAGGAAATCCCCCGCCAACCGCCAACTTCTGTGGCAATAACATCCTGCGATTAATCAATTACAATGAGGAAACGAAACGTCGGCGATTAATCAATCACCATCTAACACGGCTCATAGCCTGAGAAGACTTTATTAATGAAAGCCGCCGTGAAAACTTCACATCATATACCTTCAGGTTCTTCTAAATGGCATGACGAAAGAACAAAAGAAACTAAGTCATCGGCAGGGGGAGCGTTTTGAAGAATGATTTTAAGAAGTCGAAAAGGCTAACCGCGTTAACGAAAATAGGTTTGAGAAGTTGAACCTTGAAATGAAACATTTAAAAGGTAAATTGTCAGAACCTACTTCCATTGTTTGCAATGCAAATTTGTTACGATTAGCTGATAGCAACGCAGCCAGTCAAAGCAGTTCCCACAGCGAGCCTCCCGAAAACTTGAATAGTCAAGTGTCAAGGTCCAATGATATTTCTGGAAATACGAATGATGCTAATTGTAATGTGAGTCGTGATAGCACGAATGTTCGCCCTTACAATGCACATAACTATTTAAGCGCTGCTGATCTGTCCCTACCCATGTTTGAAGACAGCGATAAAATTAACGCTATTTACATTTGAACCCTTTGGATGAATTTATGAAGTTGGAGGGCGTACTCGAGTCATTACAATTAGCTATTGCATTCAAATCAATATCAGACCCTGTGGCTGATCAAGGTCCAATGATATTTCTGGAAATACGAATGATGCTAATTGTAATGTGAGTCGTGATAGCACGAATGTTCGCCCTTACAATGCACATAACTATTTAAGCGCTGCTGATCTGTCCCTACCCATGTTTGAAGACAGCGATAAAATTAACGCTATTTACATTTGAACCCTTTGGATGAATTTATGAAGTTGGAGGGCGTACTCGAGTCATTACAATTAGCTATTGCATTCAAATCAATATCAGACCCTGTGGCTGATCAGTGGATGTCAGCTGTTTCTCATACCTTAAATGACTGTGAGCAGTTTAAAGTCGCTTTCACTAGAACCTTTTGGTCCAAGACGACACAGAGCTGGTTGAAATATTCAGCAAAAAAGCTTCGAAACAAATGTTTAAACTCAGAAAAGAAAAAGGCTGTTTTTTTAAGTGAGAGAAAAGAGAAGGGAGTATGAAAAGAGAGAGATGAAGGTTTACCCACTGGGGTATTCTTGCCATCTTTTGGCCGATTCTTGGGTCCTAAGTAAAAAAAAATTGCAAGGCCATGGAAAAACTAATTTATTGAATATTGTTGCCAAATCATACCAGTAACTTATTATAAGAGGTAGAAAGAATAATAAAAACGGAAGCATTGAATCCTTAAGGAAGAAAATCATAACGATAGTTAAGTCTTAAGTCAGAGTAACGATGGATTGCACGATGTGATTTTGCTATTGTTGGTTTATTTAAGATAGATGACAGTAGAGGTGTGAATGTTTGAATGATTTTGACGTAAATACGTCTATATTTTAGGGTCAGTGTCATTCGGCAAAAAGTGGAACGAAAAAGTGTAACTGCATTGTTATGTTACCTAGCAAACGTCATCTGTTTACTCGGCATTATTGTTACCAAGGAAACGTCATCTGTTTACTTAGCATTGTTGTTACCTATAAAACATTTTATTACCTTACCTTACATTACATTCAGCTACCACAGACCCATCTTAAGCGTACCTAATTCAAGTTAAATAAGCAAAGTCTTAACCAAACTTTACTCAATTGAAAAGCATGTATAAAGGAAATATTTAGAATAAAGCCAATATATAAACTTCCTTTCCGTATAGACGTATTTACGTCTAATTCTCCGGAACCGTGGTTCCACTATCATCCTATGTGAAGTAATGAGAGCTTCTTTGAAATGCGTATAAACATTTAAAGTGATCTATTGACATTCAATATTCATTGTATACTGATAACGCAGATGATTTGTGAAAGAATACTAATGTAAGCTTAGCTGATAATAGATACTTAAGAAATTGTTCAGTGAACCATTGACTGTTATGTTGTGTTGGTCATGTAAGACGCTTACAGCAGCGCTTCTCTTTTTAAAGGGACTCTTCAACAAACTTTAAACACAGTCGCACGCAAATCCAATACAATTCTGATATCATCGTCTTGCGGCTAGAGCCAAATATCATCTGTATTGTTCTTGACTAATAAATAGTGTAAAAAAGTTGTCAGTGGAACCACGGTTCCGGATAATTTGACGTAAATACGTCATACCTGCTTTACAATTGAGTAAAGTTTGTTTAAGACATTGCTTATTTAATGTAATGTAAGGTAAGGTAATATTCAGCAATAGCGGCAGCCTCTAGTTGTCGGGAGTTACACGCCGGTAACACCTCTGAGGAGATTCGAGTATCTACCGAGAAGCCAAGCTCCTGTCACTGAGCGGTTATAAGCTTTTCCAAGAATGTGGCACGTTGAATGCATCCCAGAATCCCGTGAGAAGATCTCATGATTCTGCTGACCGATAGCTAGCTTGTAAGATCAGTGAGGATTAATCTTTTGCTCCAGATGCTTTATTCCAACGCCCAAGAAGCCACAGAATAAATTCATAAAGTGTTACGGAGATCACGTTTCAAAGTACCTACCGGATAATTGCACGTTGTCCGGCAGTTACAGAGCAAAATTTGGGGCTCAATGCAGCTCTTGTGAGCGAAGGAGAAGAATACAAGTCAAGAAGGTCGTAAATGTTTTAGTCACAATGCAGTGAGACAGGATGCATAAAAACGAATCGAATCACAATATCGAATAGTTATTGAAACACTGATTTGTTAGAACACCAGTAAAGTCAATATTTACCTAGACCTACCCAACATAATTGTATGAAACATTTGTTGTATTTTTTCATTATATCTGGAACATGCTCTTTGATTAGAATTCTGACACATTATGTGTTCTCCTGTAAATTATTTTGTAAAATTATGGTGATTTAAGAATTATCAAAATCGCAGATAGGAATTTAAATGTTATAAATTAAGATTAAGATATCAAATACCTATTAGGTGATTTGTAGATAATGTACTACAAAGATATCACTTGACAAACAACTTGGCGAACATTTTTCTAAATTATCACATTTTAAGCATAAAGGAAAAAATGTATGACGCTTAATATATTTATTTATAAATTAACCACACAGTATATATTTATCACGTACTTGGTTCAGGTGATAATTAAACAAAACACAATTTTTTAATTTCACTATCCTTTTCCCTTAGAGACGAGGATCCAAATGTGTGACTCGACGGAATGAGAACCACGGATCCTACTAAGCTTGTTCAATAACAAGAATCAATTCTGAACCAAATTAACGAGAGAAAATAAACTCGTTTTGTAGCTATAGTGGAACTTTCCTGACTAATGTTTTGCCGTTTCGTCCTTGATACTCATGTGATGTGATTGGGTAATCGCATTACGTGTCTTCAAAGAGCCCTTGCCTCACTGGTAGAGCCAGTACCATCCAGACCATGACCATTCTAACATGTATTTTGGCCAGCTCGCCGCGTCATTTTGTCGCGCGTTTTAGCAATGGAGCCACGCACACTATGGCGGTGACGCCGCGAGCACGCCACGAGGACGCGGAGAGATCCGCGTGGTTTCAAGTGTGTGAAAAGTTTTGTGAGGATTTTGCTGATAAACCGGATCTGGAGAAAAATGAAATAGGTAAGTATTATTGTTTATCTATTTTATGTTTGTGTTCTAGCGGTGGCATTTTGGCTCGAATGTGACATAAATAGTTTTTGGTAAAAGCTTGGTCAGGTTCGTTAGCCAAAACAATTCGTTCACACGTTTCAAAATGGCGGCCGTTCAAAAAATTTAACCCTCCGACCGGCAAATGCATTTTTCTCTGGCGAGAGGCCTTTTTGCTGTGTGTACGAGGTGCGATCGGAAAGTTTCAAGACTGTGTCAATAGAGGGCGAACCGGATGGTTATAAAAATTCTGTTATTTCAGCAGGATAAATTACCTCCAGACGTTTTAGTATAATCAATGTTTTATTGCATATCATCCACAAAATAGCCTAACATATAATTACACAGATTTCAGTAAAACTATACAGTTTGAATTCCAATAGTCTGCCACGTTTGGCGGTAAATTGATTCCGCATTCACTGTGTTTGTTACCAACCAGTTTTAGATATTTAGATTTATACATTTGTCTTGCCACGGTACTCTGCCAGCACTGCTTACAAAGTAATCAGGTAATGCATTTCTTCGACGGTTTAGTGAATTTCCTCCTTGCGTTGACGGAGTTTCATTGCCCAGATCACATAGCCCATGTATACTTAATGTGTCCTGGAAGTTAAAACCATCTCTGGAACGGACGTAATTGTGAAGAACGCAGAATGCAACAACATTTGATAATGCTAATAGTACAGTTCAACTTAACATTGATGGGTCTGTGAAAGATTCTCCATTTATTCGTCAGAATTCCAAATGCGCACTCCACATATCTCCGGCCACGACATAAACGATAGTTAAAGATCCGTTTCTTGTAGGAGAGGAATGTTTCATTGTATGGTCTCATGACAAAATCAGACAGAGAAAATGCTTCATCCCCCAAGAAAGTGTACGGCATCGAAGGTCCTGTAGTTTCTGGCAGAGGTTGTCCTTTTGGGATACTTGCCTGGCCATTTTCTAACATTTTGTACAGCTTAGAGTTTTCAAAGATAGTGCTATCCGATTCTCTGCCACGAGACCCAACGTCTACGTAGTTGAACAGATAGTTTGCATCTGCAAACACAAACAGCACTACAAAATGGAATTTCTTGTAGTTAAAGAACTGAGAACCACTGAAATCTGGTTTAACGATTCTCACGTGCTTGCCATCCAAGGCACCCAGGCAGTTGGGGAAGTTTGCACGCTTTTAAAAAAACTTTAGCATTTTCCAGCCATCTTTCCTCTGTGAATTTCGGTATGCATTCTTTGCGCAAGATCTCCCACATTGCCTTACAAACTTTTCTTACTATTTTACACAATGTTGTGTGGCCGATTCTGTATTGATAATGCAGATCAATTAGAGTGCAGCCGCTACCCAAGTATCTGGAAAAGAAGAACATTACTTTAGTGTTAATAATAATTTTCATTACCCTAGTAAGTTCTGGGCTCGGGCTCTCTGGTTTATGGGTCTACAGGGCCTCTGGTTTTCCTGGGCCCTCGGAATCCCTGAACTTTTTAGTTGAGACCATAGGCAAAAGTCATCTTTTACTAGCGAAGCAAATTCAGGTTCAGGACGCGAAGTGGTAGGGGTGTGCCCTAGTTGTGAGCTTCAACAAAATAAAAGATATTTACAAAATGAATCATATACTACAGTTTGTGTTTGATTTCAGGTTCAAAATTCATGAAGAGGTGGAAGGGCATTAAAGATACTTTCACAAAACGTGAAAAGAAACAAACAAAATCAGGGCAAGGGGCAAATTCTGCCAGACGGTACATTTATGCCCGCCAGCTGTCGTTCCTGTTAAAGACAGTGGATCCAGGTCCCACGCAAACTAGTGTCGATGACGAAGTCGTGGCTGGTAGTGAATCTCTGGAAGAGATGGATACTACAGCAGAAACATCAACAGCTGAAAATGACCCCTTCCCGATCGTACAGAGTGAGCCTGGCACAAATTTGGACAATACACCTGCTTCCAAACATCTCAGGATAATTGAAAATAACTCATTAAAGTTTATGAACTCTCCTATGCCAAATGCTACCCGCGAAGTACCGGACGATGATAAATCATTTTTTGAATCATTGCTTCCAGCTGTTAAAACCTTGCCGTTGGACACCAAATTGGAGTTTAGATGCGAAGTTATTAGGTTACTGAAAAGGTTCAGGACCATGAATGAACATCCCCAATACATCGCCCCACGAAGTTCTCAGCAATTGCAACCCATCGATCGTTTTCAAGAGTTCAATAATCAATCTCGTGCATCATTTACAGATTCACCTACTCAACCTCATTTATCTGTCAGTTCACTACAACCACCCTACACCATGACCACTCCTTCTCCATACAGCAGCAGCAACTACACGATAACAGATGGTGAAGATTCTATGGACCTTTTTCGTAACGACACAAACCAACAATAGAATGGATCACTTTATAATGGTTTCCAAATGGACTGTAATTGGTAACTTACAGTAAATAATTGATTTTTGTACTTAAACTTGAAATAAAGACTTCGTTTTGAGAAACTGTGCTTCTTGGTTTATAGCCCTACAAATATTTAATTGTTTTTATCTTTAACTTTAATAATGTTAATTAAAAACAATATTGCCATATACTAAAATTGTAGGTTTACTAAACACTAAATAACAACTAAAATTTAAATTACATTTACTACAGCTTACTACAGTTGATACCAAAATAGGCGTTAGTAAATTAATTTTAACATATAGATACTGTCGGGTATCACATTAAAGCACTTGCTTATTGATTACAACAAAATTATATCGTTGGGGCAAGGATATAATTTATCCATTTTTTAAATAAACTATATCGTAGTTGTTAATTCATTAAAATAACACATAGAATATGAATACTTACATACTCTCTGCTTACCTCAGAGTCACAACCAGCATTTGACTGCACTGAATCATCTCAGAAAAAATCCGAATTGCAGGATTTTGTGATGACGATGATAAATACCTGGATTATATAACGTAGTTTCCCGACCTGATAATACTCTCAATTATTTAAAACTCTGAAATCCGTATTCTTTACATATACAACATTAAACCGCCTCTGACTTACGTAATCTGAATTACCAACCAGTCGTACTCTAAGTTACACTACAACATGACTTTTTCAAATGTTCAGCTGAAATCGACAAAGGTCCCTCTTTGAAGTCCAATTCCTTTTTACGTAGCAAATTACTAAGAATAATTCTTGTTTCTTTTATCTCTTCTTGCAGTCCTTCTTATTTCCTACCCGTGTGCACTGTCACGGGTTTCCTCGCCCTAGAAGCAGAGGAAGCTACTAGATATGTGACCATAGCCCAAGCTATTAAGTTAATAACGAAACCTTTTTCGGGTGATCCGAAAGAGTTGCGTTCTTTTTGTGACAATGTGGAGGCTGCTATACAGGTTACAAAACCCACCATGAGAGTAGTGTTGTTGAAATTTATAAGAGCTAATATTATTGGGGAAGC